GCTTAATGCCATCCGCGCTTATTCGATAGCCCAGGTATGTTAACTCCCGCTGTCCGAACCTGCACTTCGCAAGTGCGGAGCATTTGCTCCAGAGTGCGGTTGACCCTCTCCGTTTGCCCATCCGACTGCCGGTGGTAAGGTAAGGGCATCGCCCGCTTGATGTGGAAGCGTTGGCACAACTGTTGCCACAGTTGTGACTGGAAGCGAGGGTCCCGATCCGAGATTAGGACATCCGGAAAGCCGTGGTAGCGGATCAACCGGTCTGCGAGCAATTCGATAGTCCGCTGCTGTGGCTGTCTTCTTCGTAGGAATAAAGTGGGCCATCTTGCTTAAGGAATCGACAAGGACCAGGATGCTGTCGTGGCCTCGAGGAGTAAGGGGTAGATCCGTTATAAAGTCTAAGCCGACGTGAGGGCGAGCAATAACCGAGGGAATATTGATGAAGAATCGAGAAGGAGCTGGAGGAGGTGCGAGGAATCAGAGTGAATCAGTGCCTGATCAAATATTCCGAACGAAAATGGCAGCGACAGAAGATGGGGCCGATATGCGGACCTTTCTAAGTCTGGCGGAGCAGGAATTTCGAGAAATGAAGATTGCAGAGGATCAATGGGGATTACTGGTGAGGAAATATTTAACAGGACGAGCTGTCAAGCAGTGGGATTATGTATATCGATCAGGAATCGACATGACAGACTGGCCTCTGGTGCGTAGAAGACTTTGCGAAAGGTAAAACTTTGTCGATTTGGGACGTATTTCAACAAGCCCCATGTCAATATGGACAGTCCTTCCCCAGGAAAATGGGAGTGAGCAATTACATAAAAAGTACAGGACTCTCAAGATTCCGGATACTGCAAAGCCCTTCGACCTATATACTGACGCTTCAGGCTATGCACTGGGTGCTGCGCTGGAGTCATTGTCTGACTCAGGAAACCAATCAGAGCTTTCATTTTGTTCTATCACTTGGTGCAGTTATTGGGTTAGTCTGTGGTTTCTCGATCACATCCGCCAGCATAACCTTGCGAAAATGATTAACTCAGCTACTGGGGCTTCGGGAACCCACTAACGCTCACTGTTGGGTTTTGTATCTGCGTTTGTGTTGTTGCCGGGGACACAAGAAGCAGAGCTGCGGACATTATCTTGGTGCACCCACTGATGAGAGGGAGGTGAAGCTCCGAGGGCGCTATGTTCCCCAAGGCCCCAGTGCTAGGATTCCGGTGACTGCATTCAGTCATCAAAAAGGGAGAACTCTAGCTTAGCCATATGCCATGGTGATTCTTCATCATCCTTAGTATGCGTTAGAACTGCCAAAGGTGTAGGGAAGTCTTCCTCTGCCTGCGAATTCTCATGACTAATAAGTGCGCAGCACAAGGCTCCTTGTTGCTCCTCAGGTAACCTCAGGGCAACGGACTTCTCAACTTCGGGCAAAACCAACGCCATATTCAAACCTCGTAGTAGAGTTCGTAGTCCAAGTGTGTTGCCTCTTGCTTGTTCGATCAATGCTTTAATAGACAATGTCTTTCCTGGCTTGGCGCGGTGCTTAGTGCGCTTAGGAGGCGACCGTAGAAGGGGGGCGCCCTCAACTTCGGTCATCTGAGCCACTTGCCTCGACAGAAGACCGTACGGCTGTTCCGCTGGAGTCCGTATGAGCGCTGCTGCGTCACAGTCTTCAGTTCGTTTGTCCACATGTGTGCGAAGAAGGGACAGTTCACACCACCTGCCATCCATGTAAGTTCCCAACGTGTCCGATTCGATGCACCAGGCAACTTTATGGTCAGTCAACCAATCAGACCCTAATTCTATATCATAAAGAACGGGGCCTACTAAATAATCGCCGGTGAAACATTCACGTCCACACCAAACCGGCAAGCTCTTCACAGTTCGATCAATACACAACTGGACACTGAGCCTAGCAAGTTTCTCTTCAGCAACGTCTAGGCTCCCTCGTTTAAACGTTGAGATAGCGGCTCTCTATGCTGTGTTGTCGTCGAGGAAGTGTGGCTGACCTTTTCTGTTCTCGTACGATCAGGTGTTTGAGAATCACGTGCGTCCCAACTGGCCATCGTGGAAAGACGAAGGCTTACAACGCAATGTGCAGAACTTATTGCAGGCCCACTATGCGGATCCACACTAACACTAATGTTGTTCCCCCGCTACGGAGCCTTGACGGCGGTTAATCATGTTGAAGCAGCATATCTGTTCCAGCGCGTGGTAATTCCTTCACGGCAGTGGAGCCAAGTAACTTTGGACTTCGCCGCTGATTCGCCAGGAAAGATGCGCCATCTTACTGGGTGAGTCCACCACCAAAATTGCGTCAGATTGATTTGAAGAATCAATCTGACGCAATTTGGTGATGGTGGTGGACTCACCCAGTAAGATCGCGCACCGTTCCCCGACAACGGAACCCTCTACACGGGCAGATAGCATAGAGCTATTAGCGTTCCGCCTCATTCGATACCCTGGGATTGTGGATCCGCTTATCATCCAGATGCGAACACAGCTGGTCCCAAAGCTTTGCTTGGAAACGACGATCGTTTTCATCACTAAATTAGCAATGTCAACGGCCTACCATCCGATACCGATGGTCGAGCAGAGCAGGTCAACAGAGCATCGGAGCAGATGATGCGGACTTGTATGTATACCTTACAGAGGATATGAAATGAGGGAAAAAGCAGAATACACGACCAAACGGTGCTTCGCGACTCCAGGAACCGCAAACAAACAGGGATAAGCATCCTACAACTAGGACGCCCCTAGGAACCTGAAGGAAAATCTATGTTGAGACTAGAGCTCACCCATTGTGAAACTCCCCACAAGGAAAATTGGTGGTTGGAGGCGAGCCGGGGGCCGTGCTAGAGCCCCGTATGCATCTGACACCTAGCTCGCATCGCGCCAAAGCGCGCGTCTCACCGAGGGACGATCCCTCTCCCTCTCAGCACGCAGACAGCGATCACCACCCGCATCTAGCGGCAGTCTCGTGCTGATCCTTGAAAGTATGTGATGAAGCTGCAAGACTCGAGTCCGAACCCCCCACCTGATGTTTGAGAGTTTATAGCATAAGCAACTGGACCGAGCCCGGCACACAGGCTAGTGGTACTTCCTCAACGCCATGCCCCCCTTCCGGTGTTCGATGGTCACCGTGTGCACTGACACGGAATCCAACAGCTTCCACTGGAAAGAGTACCTACCATCACTTACGGCGTAGTATAAATAATCAAGAAGGAAGATACACCCCCCCAACTCCTCATCGACTACTTTCAGTTCCCTCTCTCCAGGAGGAATCCTTTAGCATGCTGCAGCGCCAAAGAATGCAAAAGATGAATGGGATTGACGAGCAGCGCAGCTCAAGTCAACATCGTAGATTTGAGTCAACAACAACATGTTAATATTGATTCATGTTCTTGTGTGGCGTTCATCTATGATGAAATATTCTTCTTTATTATCCACTGCTGGCCTCGCCGGAGCCAATCCCACCACCAGGCTTCGTTCTATCGCTGCATTGCATAGATCTATCTTGGAGTACATCATCGGCTGCCCCTCCTGCCTCCCGCTGCATAAAAGAATGATATATGAGCCCCGTTCTGCCCACCCCCCACAACAGCAACAGCCGCAACCCGCTTCGCTGACGGCCTCGGGTCGTCGTCCGCTTGCCTCCAGGCGAATCGCGTGAAGTGCTTAGCCCTTATCTATGAGCCGCGCTGCAACCCGCCGTTGCCAAGGCTGCTGCCGCTCACTCCCGCTAGACGACTGCACTACCAGCGGCCTCTATACCAGTAGCCACCGCAGCCGGCCCTTCTGCTGCTCTAGCATACGCTGCTGCTACACCCATACTTCTTGGCTGTCCCGCTGGTGTTGCTGTTGCTGCGCCGATGCCTTACCATAGAGCCACAACCGCCGCAGCTTCAGCTCTCCCACAGATTGCTGCCGCTCCCCCTGTAGCTATAAATGCTGCTGTAGTTCTCTTTTACGGTTTTGGCGTGGTTGCAGCAGCACCAGAAGCAGCACCAGCTGCTGCTTCTGCCTCTCTATCCCGCTGCTCACTGGGTCCCCTTGCTGGCCTATCATAAACCACATCTGCAGACTTCCGCTTCCCCCTCCTTCAGTATATTGCAGCATCTTTGAGTCTCGTCTCCGGCCCACCCTTCCCTTGCTGCTGCTGCTGCTACTTGTGCTACTCTTGCTGCTACGGCCTGTCTGCTGTCTTCCGTGTATCACACCAGCTACTACTGTTGCAGTTGTGCTGACCCCACCACCCACAGCCTCTCCCTTTGCTCATTCGCAGCTAATTCAACACAAGAAAGGTTTCTTCCTCCACGGTGGCTCCCGCTTACACCCCCAAACTTTCCAGGGAGATGGTCGCCCCTCTGGCGATCCCTCCGGGGGCCCCTGAAGGGGCCCCTCTGGGGACCCCCGCACAGACCTCTCTACGGGCCCCTCTGGGGGCCCCCTAACGGTTCTCTCTACGGGCCCTTCTGGGGGCCCCCGCAAGGGCCTCTCTATTTGCCTCTCTATTTGCCCGTCTGGTGCCCCCCTCACGATCCTCTGTACTGGCCCCTCTGGGGACTCCCGCAGGGGCCCCCTTCCCTGTCCCTCGTCTGTATGTTTCGCTTCACTAAGCCTGCATGTTGAGTCTCGCCGCACAACGGAGGCAAATTCAAATTCACGGCTGCGCGAGCGGCTCCGCAGCAGAACACGGCGGCCTTCTGCACAGTTATTAACTCGGCCTCTAGGGGGCCCCTGAGGGGCCTCAGGGGCCCCCATAGACCGAGGGCCCCCCCGGGACTCAGGGGCCCCCACAGATCTGGGGGCCCCCCGGTGCCCCCCTACCTGTGATGAGTGAATAGAGCGAGATGACTGACGCACACAGGTATGGCTGGAAGAAGAAGCGAAGTATGAATCTGTTGATACTGCCGCTGCAGTTGCTGCTGCTGCAGCAGCAGCAGCTGCTGCTGCTGCTGTTTCTGGTGTTACTGCGTCTGATGCTGCTTGTAGCACCACAGCAGCAGGCGCACAGACACGTCTGTGTGTCGGCTGCTCGCAGCTTCGGCCTGAACTCTTGCTGCGGCTCCGAGGTGCACTGCCTTCGTTGCTAAAGGAACACCTGCCGCTGCTTCTGCTGCTGCTGCTGTTGCTGCTGCTGCTGCTGCTGACAGCCCGGAGAGAGAAACTCGAGCTGCTGTCTGTCTTCATATATTCTGCCTCTCTTATTCTGCGGCGTTCTTCAGGCTGACCCTCAAACGAAGACCACTGGTCATCTCGCCAGCTGCGTTCATATGTCTCGTGACGCTGCTGCTGCTGCTGCTGCTGCTCCTGTTCCTGCATTCGTCGGTGTTGCGCCTCGCGTAGCTGCACTTGCTGCTGTGGTTTCTGCTGCAGCGGCTCCTGCTGCTGCTGCTGCTGCTGTTCGTTTTGCTTCAGATAGCCATCCCCGCTGTTGTGAGCCTGCTGCTGCTGCGGCGTTTGTTGCTGCTGCATTTGCTGCTGCCCTAGACGGTTAGCTCGCCACAGCGGCAGGCTCGCACCTGCTTCTTGTTGCTGCTGCTGTTGCTGCGGTTGCTGCTGCTGCTGCTGTTGCTGCTGCTGCTCATGGTCGTCTTGCTGCTGCTGACGTCTGTCTGTACGCTGCTGTGCTGTTGTCCCCTCTATACGTTGCTGGCTAGTCTGCTGCTGCTGCTGCTGCTGCTGCTGATCTTCGTTTGCGGATCCCTCTGAATAATCCCTTTGGGTTTGAAAACGCTGCAACGGCTCTTGATGCATGTCTTGCTGCTGCTGCTGCTGCTGCTGCTGCCGCTGTTGCCGCTGCTGCTCAGGGCTGCGGCTGCGTGGCCTCAAGCGGTGGTCTCCTCGCCCCTCACACGACCTAGGGCTGTGTTGTCTGCTTTCCCTGAATTGCTGCCGCTGCTGCTGGTGCTGCTGCTGGTGCTGCTGCTGCTGCTCACGATAGCTGGGAGAATGCTGCTGCTGCTGCTGATACCGCTCCCGCTGCTGATCATGATTCCTATTATAATACGGATGCTCCCGCCTGCCGCTTCTGCTCCTCTCCTCCACAGACGGAGACCGACGGCGATGCCGAGATGACCAGCTGCTGCTGCTGCTGCTACTGCTGCTGCTGCTGCTGCTGCTGTAGTAGCCTCTGCTGCTGCTGCTGCTGCTGCTGCCGTTGCTGTTGTAGCTGCCGCTGTAGCTGCTGTTGCTTCTGCTGTAGCTGCCACTGTAGCTGCTGCTGCTATAGTTTCTGCTGTAGCTGCTGCTGTTCCTGTTGTAACTGCTGCTGCTGCTGCTGCTGCTGCTGCTGCTGCTGCTGTAGCTGCTGCTGTCAGGACCTGTGCTGCTGCGGCGGCTGCCTGGCCTGCTGCGATGCGCAGCAGGAGTTGCTGCTTCTCTGTCTCTGTTTGTTTCTCTGTGTCTCCTCTGCTGCTCCCATACCCTCTCCCTACTAGAACCACGAGAAGCCTCACCCTGCCGCTGCCGCTGCTGCTGCCGCTGCTGCCGCTGCTGCTGCTGCTCCCACCACGGCTGCTGCTGCTGCTGCTGCTGCTGCTGCTCCCTGTCCTCCTCCCTGTAGTCCCGGCGAATCCTCCTCGCTCGTATTTCAACATCAGGAGACTCAGATCGCTGCAACCGCCAATCCCGCCGCTCGTGCTGCTGCTGCTGCTGCTGTTGCTGCTGCCGCTGCCGTTCTTGCTGGTGGTGGTGGTGCTGCTGCTGCTGTTGCAGCTGATAATGCTGCTGCTGCTGTGAACGGTGCTGGCCCGGGCTTCCTCTCCTCTCCCGATACTGCTGCCAATCCTCCTCGCTCCGCCTGTGCTGCTGCTGCTGCTGCTGTTGCTGCCGCTGCTGCTGCTGCTGCTGCTGCTGCTGGCGATCCTGGGCATCGTAACTCCGATTCTGTTTCTGTGTGTGCGAAGCTTGCTGCTGCTGTTCTTGCATCTGCTGTTGCTGTTCATGTTGTCGTTGCTGTTGTTGCTGCTGCTGCTGCTGCTGCTGCTGCTGCTGCTGTTCTTCCTGCTGCTGCTGCTGCTGTTCTTCCTGCTGCTGCTGCTGCTCCGTGCTGCAGCCCAACTCGCTGCAGCTGAAGCCCCGCATCAACTCTTCATACATTTCCGTCACTCTTCTGAATTTCTCGGCGAAGTCAAAAACTCCATTTGTATGAGCAGCAGCAGCAGCTGCAGCAGCAGGAGGTGCTGCTTTTGCTACTGCTGCTGCTGCTGCTGCTGCAGAGGCTGCTGCTGCTGCTGCTGCTGCTGCTGAAGCTGCTAAGGCTTCTGCATCAGCTGCTGTTACACCCCGGGGGGTTATGCCTGCTGATGATGTACTTGCTGCTGCTGCTGCTCCCGCTGCTGTTGCTGCTGATGCTGTTGTTGCTTCTGCTGCTGCTTTTGCTGCAGTTGCTGCTGCCTGAGCTGAATCCGGCGCTTCTGCGTTTGCTGCTGCTGCTGCCTGTGGTGATGCTGCTGCAGCTGCTGCTGGAGCTGCTGCTGCAGCTGCTGCTGTTCCCCTATGCGTACCGACAGAGGAGCACATATTTTCTGCTGAAGAAATATACTCTCCTCTCGCTTTGCTGCTGCTGCTGGAGGCAGCAGCAGCAGCAGCAGCCGGAGCAGCAGCAACAGCCGGAGCAGCGGCAGCAGCAGCAGCAGGTGCAGCAGCAGCAGCAGTAGCAGCAGTTGGTGAGTCTATCTTGCGCATTTTCTTTCTCCCTTCTGCTGCTTTTAAAGGCTTGGGAGCCTCATAAACATTCATTTGCACTTCGCTGCTGCTGCTGCTGCTGCTGCTGCTGCAGTTGCTGCTGCTGCTGCTGCTGCTGCTGCTCTTGCTTTTGCTGTTGCTGCTGGGGTTGTCTCCGCATGCATTGGCCTTGGGCTTCAGAGCAGCTGCCTCGGCTGAGATATTTCGCTGCTGCTCCTGGATGCCCACTGCTGCTGCTGCTGCTGTTGCTGCTGCTGCTGCTGCTGCTCCTCCGCTGGTACGGCTGCTGTTGCTGCTGTTGCTGCCCTTGCTGCTGCCTTTGCTGCTGCTTTTGCTGCAGGTGCTCTCTCTCCCATGCCTCACCGCTGCGGTTCGTTTCTCCTGCATAGCAGCAGCAGCTGCAGCAGCAGCAGGCGTTGCTGTTGCTGCTGCTACTACTGCTGCTGCTGTTGTTGCTGTTGCTGCTGCTGCTGCTGCTGGGCGTTCTGCTGCTAAGGCCTTTCGGGTGTATATAACATTCTGAAACTCATCGACATCCATCTGGTGACAAGCAGCAGCAATTGCTGCATCTAGCTGCTGCAGCTCAGCAGCAACAGCAGCAGCAGCAGCTGCTGCTGCTGCTTTCTTCTCCGCCGATGCAGCAGCAACAGCAGCAGCTGCTGCTGCTGCTGCTACTGCCTGCACATGACTGAGATGCTGCTCTCCCTGCTCCTGCCCCTGCCCCTGCTGCTGCTGCCCCTGCTGCTGCTGCTGCTGCTGCCCCTGCTGCTGCTGCTGCTGCTGCTGCCCCTGCTGCTGCTGCTGCTGCTGCTGCTGCTGCTGCTGCTGCTTGACCGCAGGCACCCAGTAGAGAGCAGGGGCCCAGAGACACAGAGCTGCTCGCGTTTGTATGAATCTGTGTTTTCTTGCTTTCTTTCTATACTCCTCCACCATATGCTCAGCCAGAGCCCTGATTGTATATAACACAAACAAAATTATATTTTATTTATTTTTTATTGTTATGCTGTATTGGGTTTTGTGTATTATATATTAAATATTATATATTATGTATTGTGTATTATATATTATACAGTATAATATATATTGTATATTATATATTATACAGTATAATATATATTATATATTATATATTATATTATATATTATATATTATATATTATATATTATATATTATATATTTTATATATTATGTATTATATAATAAATAATATATAATATATAAATATAATATATAATATATATAATATATTATATATAATATATAATATATAATATATAATAAAGAGAACACAAAACTACTAGTGTATAGTACCAATCCGTATACTATAAAGATATATAAATACGAAAATAAATATATAAAATAAAATCTATTTCTTTCTCCTATTAAAATATAATATAATTAAATTAATATTATAAATATAATAAAAAAAAATATAATAAAAATAAATAGATGAAATGAAATATATAAATATTTTATATTTAATAAAATAAAAATAAAATAAGAATAATATTATAAATATATTTATAAAAAAAATAAATTTATTTACCTCTATCGGGCCCAAACCCCCATCAATACTAACAATAAATATATAAAAAAAAAGCTATTTCTTTCTCCTATTAAAATATAATAAAATAAAAATAAAATAAAAATAAAATAAAAATAATATTATATTTATTTTTTTATATTTATTTAATTATATTTACCTGAGATAGGGGTTTTGTAAGGAACTAACTTTCTCCCGTCTATCATTCCAAACCCTAAACCCTAAACCCTAAACACTAACAATAAATATATAAAACAAAAGCTATTTTTATATTTAATAAAATAAAAATAAAATAAAAACAAAATAAAAATAAAATTATAAATATATTTATAAAAAAGATAAATATATTTACCTGAGATAGGGGTTTTGTAAGGAGCTAACTTTCTCCCAAGTGGCATCTTTGAGGTCGAAGCCCTTCCACCTGATGAGCGCCTGAAACCCGCTGGCTGTTTCTCTCACCCTCAGTATAGACTCTACCTCAAACTCTCCTGCTGCTGCTGCTGCTGCTGCTGCTGCTGCTGCTGCTGCTGCTGCTGCTGCTGCTGGGGCGGCTGGGGCGGGTGCTGCTGCTGCTGGTGGTGGGGGTGTTGCTGGAGGTGGTGCTGCTAGGGGTGTTGCTGCTGCTGGGGATCGGGGTGATGGTGATGGTGGTGCTGATGAGGCTGATATAGATGTTGCTGCTGTTGTTGCTGTTGCTGCTGCTGCTGCTGCTGCTAGTGGTGATCGTGGTAATGCTGCTGCTGCTGCTGCTGCTGCTGGTGATGCTGCTGCTGCTGCTGCTGCTGCAAAAGCAGCTCCAGCTGATGAAGCTGGGGAGCAGCAAGGGGCAAACTGAAACAAAAAACAAACAAACACAAAAACATACGCACTCTTCCGCTGCTGCTGCTGCTGCTGTTGCTACTGTTACTACTCTTGCTGCTGCTGCTGCTGCTGCTGCTACTGCTGCTACTCTTGCTGCTGCTGCTGCTGCTGCTGCTGCTGAGTTTGCCTACCGGTCCCACTGAAGGCGACATGGTGACGGGCGCAGCTGAAAATGATGCCTCCTTTGCTGCCGCTGCTGCTGCTGCTGTTGCTGCTGTTGCTGCTGCTGCTGCTGCTAAAGTTGCAACCCAGCCTGTGCGAGCTGCTGCTACTACTCCCACTGCTGCTGCTGCTGCTGCTGCTGCTGCTGCAGCTGCTTCAGCTCATGGTGAACACCGAAGGGCTCAGCTGTAGGAGCAAACTACCGCCTATAAACTCAATTCATATTGACAGCCCCAAAGGCTTCAACTGCTGCTGCTGCTGCTGCTGCTGTTGCTGCTGCTGCTGCTGCTGTTGTGTCTGCCCCTGGAATGACGACTGACGGGGTTGTTGCTGCTGCAGCCTCTGCTGGGAGTGTCATTCCCATTGATTCTGCTGCAGCTGAGGTTGCAGCAGCAGCTGCTAATGCTGCTGCTGCTGCTGCTGCTGCTGCTGCTGCTGCTGCTGCAGCTGCGCAGCAAACCTCATGGGTTCCCCCGCAGCAAAGAGCTGATGCGCCCCCTCCTTGTATTTCTCTGAATCTGAATTGAAGAAATAAAAAAGAAGGCGAAGGAAGCGGAGACGAGCCCACTGTGGGGTGTTGTTGCTGCTGCTGCTGCTGCTGCTGTTGCTGCTGCTGCTGCTGCAACTGGATTTGGTGCTGCTGCTGCAGCTGTCTCTCGTCTATCGACCGTCAGGGAGTCAAATGTATGAACTAAATAAATAAAATAAATAAAATAATTAAATTATTTCCTCTTAACTCAACAAACAAAACAAACAAACAACAAAATACAGAGGGGCCCCCAGCGAGGCAGCGGTGGCGGCGGCTGTGTGGCTGCTGCGGCAGCAGCAGTTTATTCGTTTGCAGCAGAATAAAATAAATAATATTTTTAATTATATTATAAAATAATTAAAATTAATTCAATTCTTTTCCTTTATACACATCTATTTGCCTCCGCCACACGAGCCCGCGGCAGCTGCTGCTGCTGCTCTCGTCAGCAGCAGCAGCAGCAGCAGCAGCAGCAGCGCAGCAACAGCACCACTGGTTATACACCGCAGAAGAAGAAGTAATAGTATAGCAGCAGCACCAGCACCAGCAGCTGCAACAGCAGCAGCAACGGCAGCAGCAGAAGCAACAGCAACAACAGCAGCAGCGAGATATTCAGGAGGAGAAAAACGAAAGACAGCAATGACCGCCCGATGAAGTGTCAGCTGCAGCAGCAGCAGCAGCAGCAGCAGCATTAGAAGCAGCAGCAGCAGCAGCAGCAGCAGCAGCAGGATGTCGATGTGTGAGGGGGGGAGCCGCCGGCGAGGCAGCCAGCTGCTGCTGCAGTTTCATCTTCGCCTCAAGCTCAGTTTGCTGCCAGCAGCAGATGCAGCATTTGCTGCTGCAATCAAAGAACGTGTGCTGCAGCAGCTGCAGCAGCAGCAGCAGCTGCAGCTGCAGCAGCAACCGCAGCAGCAGCTGCAGCAGCAGCAGCAGCTGCAGCTGCAGCAGCAACCGCAGCAGCAGCAGCAGCAGCAGTTGAAACAGCAAGGAGAGCAGCCAACTCTCCCCTTCCCGTTGCTTTCTACAGAGGAAAGGGAGGCATTTGCTGCTGCTGCTGATGCGCAGCAGCAGCAGCAGCAGCAGAAGCAGCAGCAGCAGCAGCAACAGCAGCAGCTGCTGCTGTCGCTTCCCCGCGAGCACCTGGTGGAGAATTTAAATGAAGATATGAAACGCCTGGGGTGGGGCTCTGCTGCTGCTGCTGCTCCTTCTGCTGCTGCTGCTGCTGCTGCAGTGGATTTTTCATCCCCAGCAAACTCTGAAGGCTGCCTGTCAGTAGCAGCAGCAGCAACAGCAGCAACAGAAGCAGCAGATGCAGCAGCAGAAGCAGCAGAAGCAGCAGCAGCAGCAGTTGAGCGTCAAAGCGATTGCGGTGCAGCCACAACTCCTCAGCAGCAGCAGCAGCAGCAGCAGCAGCAGCAAAAGCAGCAGCAGCAGCAGCAGCAGGAAGAACAGGAGCAGCAGATGTGCGCATTGAAGGAGAAGATAGCCGAGTTGGAGTTGCAGCAGCTGCTGCAGCAGCGCGAGTGTGCAGCAGCAACTGCTGCTGCTGCTGCACTGCAGCAGCAGCTGCTGCTGCTGCAGCAAGACAATAGATATCTACGTACACACTTCCGTCGGGGTTTTGTCTTCACCTCAGATCACTCTGCTGCTGCTGCTGCTGCTGCTGCAGATAAGCTGCAACAAACCCCAAATGAAAACACACAGCAGCAGCAGCAGGAGCAGCAGCAGCAGCAGGAGCAGCAGCAGCAGCAGCAGCAGCAGAAGCAGAGTGACATCTACGTTGAATCTACGCGCTGCAGCACCGACCTGCTGCAGCAGAAAGTTGCGGTGTATAGGCAGCAGCTGCTGCTTCTCTCTGAGGAAAACCAGAGGCTTAAAAAGCAGGCAGCAGCAGCAGCAGCAGCAACAACAACAGCAGCAGCAACACAAGCTACAGGCCTCTAGTGCACAATCAGCAGCAGCTGCAGCAGCAGCAGCAGCTGCTGCTGCTGCTGCAGCTGCAGCAGCAACAGCTGCAGCGGCAGCAGCAACAGCTGCAGCGGCAGCAGCAACAGCTGCAGCGGCAGCAGCAGCGGCTGCAGCTGCTGCAGCGGCAGCAGCAGCGGCTGCAGCTGCTGCAGCGGCAGCAGCAGCAGCAACTTTTTCAGTTTTGTTTACTTTCATTTCTTCTTTTTGTTTTTCCTGTTTTTGTATCGAGGCCAGGCAGCTAGTAGAACGGCCGTTGTTTATTTATTTATTTATTTATTTATTTATTTTTTATTTATTTATTTATTTATTTATCTATTTTTTGTTTATTATTTATTTATTTATTTGTTTATGTATTTATGTATTTTTTGTTTATTTATTTATTCATTTACTTATCTATTTATCTATTTTTCGTATTATTTATTTATTTATTTATTTATCTATTTATCTATCTTTTGTTTATTTATTTATTTATTTATTTATTTATTTATTTATTTATTTGTTTGTTTGTTTGTTTGTCCGTTTATTTGTTAGTACTATCAACTAGACATATAACTGTATATATATATATATATATATATATATATATAT